GTTCTTATAGTGCCTAATGAAATATCTCATATCTCAAACAATACATATATACATTTGTTTCTTTTTTTAATCAATTACCCGAATAGGGTGTGTTGTATTAGCAAAACATATTAGAGGGGGAGTAGCACTGACCTCAATACAACACTGATCCGTCACAGAAAACTAAAAGGCTTATAAAAACTACTATAGAACCTTCTAAATTTATAAAGAAGAAAGTAACTAGCTTACAAAGAGATTTGCTTTATCATATTTGCTCCGAATACTAGGCAATTACCATTTGTCCAGTAGAAAGAGACCTTTAGCTTGTCTAGGGAGATTGGAATAGAGTTGAGTGATCAGCACCTGGTGAGAAGAAGAAGCCAATTTTGCTAAACAATCTGAAACTTGGTTTCCCTCTCTGAAGCAATGTTTAATTTGTATTCACTACAATAAAAATAATCATTAGCGGCATTTAACTTTTAATTGCCACTAAATATGTATTTTTAGCGGCACTTGTCACTCATTGTATATATCTCTAAAGCTTTTAGCGACATTGGTTCTAATGACGCTTAACTAATGTCGATAAAAACTTTAACACTCTTTATTAATATCAATATTTAATGCCGCTAAAAGTTATTTTTGTTATAGTAATTTGCACTCTTTTTTTTATGACGTTGATGGAGTCAATGACTTGTTTCTGCTTCATATTTGTAACTATATCGTTGGCTACATTTGTTTTTTTTTCAAAATTAATTAATGCACATGCGCACATACATTCTCATACATTTTTTTCTCAAAATTAATAAATGCACGTACGTGTGGATCCGGCTCTATAGTCACATCATGTAAAAATTAAATAAATCTAATTGAGTGAAAGAAAAAAGGATCATCACGGATGAAATAAGGCAAATGGTAAAAGACAAATTAGGATAATGTAGGCATAAGTTATTTTTAAAGATATATATTTGGACAGACTGTTTAAGCAGATTGATACATAAAGAGACAAGGACTGCCTTTTCTATCCTCTATCGAGATTTTTTTTATAAAATAAAATAAGAATAATATTTGATTTGACCGTAGCTTAAGCAATCTTTCCTTTTAATTTGTTCCAAAAAGAAGTTACTTAGTAAATCAGTCACTTCCTCTCTGTTTTAAAATGCTTAATTATTGATTTAAATTTATTGTATAATTTACTCATAAAATGGTATAGTCGAATTTGATAAGTAATCTAAGGACACATAAGTTAAATTAATCTATTAAATAAAATAAGAACAACATATATCACAATAATGATGAAATATAATGAAAAGAAAGCAAGCCCTAAGAATAGGTCAATAGGGTCTTGTACTTAGGTTCAAATTTATTAATGTGTTTGTGAACTTGAATATTTTGTAAAAGAAGAAAGGCAGAAAAATTGATTAGAGAGAAGAAAAAGATTATCAGCTCACATGAGTCTTTGATTCTTATTTAATTGCTTAATCCTTCAATACATATTAGATGTATTTATAAACGGCAGATGAGTTAGTTAGCCTTCTAACAAACTTAGCTAATAACTTATAATAACTTTGACTGATTAATTAGCGTTACTAAAAAATTGTCAAAAATCGACGGACAATGTCGCACCTAAAAGCGACGCAGATTAGGACACTATCCATCGATTTTGAATAAAAATAATTATTCTTAGATTCTTTTACAAAAAGCGACGGACAACATCTCTTAGTCCGTTGTTTTTTTCCCAGGGATTTTTATGTCAAATATATATGTAATTTATGATTAATTATTTAATATAGGTAGAGATATTGTCCGTCGTTTTTTATTAAAAATAATTATTTATAAATTTAAAAATAACCATGTGTTCTGTCGCTTCTTGGTCAAAATAGATGATCAAATTTGGTAAAAATAACGTTATTCAATTATTTTTTTAGACTATGTGTATTTGGGAGCAGAAGTATAATTTGGTCATTACGATCACATGTTAGAGGAGAACATCCGCCAAACTATCTAGCTAACTAAAGAAAATTTGGGATACTGATCAACACCCAGATTAAATGTTGCCTCATGTTTTAAATGAATTGTGTTTGTATTGGAACATAGATATAAATAAGTTTAATGCAATGTCTAAACAAGCCAAAAAGGCTAGAGGCAGTCTTAAGGGTGGCTCGTTACACACTGGAGGTGCAAATATCATTGGAACAATTGCAAGAGAGATGGTAAGTTCTAATTCAAAATTTTAAATAAATAATTAATTGATTGATATATATCGTTATAAATTTGAGTTTTTATTTATAGAAAAAAGAATTGTGACACACTCCCATTGGACCGGAGTTTTTCAAGAGGACTCATGTCAGGACAAAAAAAATGAATTGGAGCCGGATGTGTGGGTGGAGGAAAGGGCCTAACGAACTTTTCAAAGTTATTTAATATGAATAATATATATTAATAGTGAATATATTTATGATATGTATGTATATTGATGTCAATTTTTATATTCAATATGCAGAATGAGTTTCATCAGTACGTCGCTAAGAATCTAGATAGTTCAGTCGAAATAAAACTAGAGCTGTCCACCCAAATTTGAAAAGAAAAAGTGGTAAGGGAACACACAAGGGTAGATACTATGGTGTAGCTCTCGAAACGATGTAAGACGACTCCATCCAACTTAGAAGGTATTGGATCATCATTTCAAGCCGAGACACTTGACGATGTTCAGATTGCTGCTATGTCGGCTCTAATAGCACAACTTACATCGGCACTGGCAAAGTAGGAGCGGAGAAGAGTAGCTGAACAAAAACCACGAGTGAGACCATTCAGCAAATCAAAGAACAAGTGATGAACCTAGCTCATCGACCTACTACTTCGTCTCTTGAGGACACCAACGACGACAATCGTGAGGATGATTATGTAGATCCCACTCCCTATTTTAGGTCTCTTTTAATTTATGAAATTTTTGAAATTTTGAAACAAATTTTGAAAGACTTTACAAGTCTTTAAATTGTGATTTAGAAAATTTAGAATGTTAATTTAAGTTTGTTGTTTTATGTTTTGTGTAGCTTGTTTAAGATGTTGTGTGTTTGATTGGGCTGAATTGTATTGAATTGAATTGTATTTGTAAATGTGCATCAGAAAGTAAAAAATTGTAGAAAAAGCAACAGACAGTGTAGTTTTGTTTGTCACTTTTCTGGGTTTATTTCTTTTTAAAAAAAACCCAGAAAAGTGACAGACATTGTTTTTTAGTCCATCGCTTTTCAAGAGTTCCAAAAAATGAAACTTCCAGAAAAGCGACGGACTACATTACCTTAAGGAATTTTTTTTTAAAATGATTTTTTTAAAAGAAAAAGAATTTAAAAGTCCGTCACTTTTTAGCGATGCAGTCCATCACTTTTTGAAAAGCGTCAACCCCAAAAGCAACGGACATGACTGCACTGCTTTTTCATTGATTTTGACCAAATAAGCGATACAGTCCGTCGCTTTCGATGTCATTTTTTCTACAGTTTTTTTAGTAGTGTAACAGAGTTAACATATCCTTTCTTCAACACTCCCCCTCAAGTTAGGTGCTCTAAATATGTTAAGGACACCTAACTTGGAACTAAGATATTGATGTTGAGCCTCAACTAAATCCTTTGTAAGTAGATTTGCGGGTTTTTCCTCAGTGGAAATATATTGTGCCTTGACTTTCCCTTTCTAGATTTTTTTTACCTAATGAAGTGACAATTGATTTCAATATGTTTTGTCCTTTCTTGATAGACATGATTGACAATAATTTATAGTGCTAATTTTCGATCACTGAAATGTCCACTGACATCATAATCTTTACTTCCAACTCAGTTAGTAATCCCAATAACCAAGTGAATTCAGACACAGTTGACGCTATAATGTTGTACCCTGATACAACAGAGCTTCTGGAAATAGTAGTTTTTTTTTATTTCTAAGATACCAAAGAAACTCCCAATTTATTAAGAAGTCTATAACAGACCTTATTGTGTGTGAACAAGCTGCCCAATCAACATTACAAAAAGCAGTTACATCTTGTACCTGATTACTTGACATGAGTATACCTAGATCAAGTTGTAATTTGATATATTTGATAATTCTCAGTACTACTTCCATATGTGATTTCTTTGGTTCCTGAAGGTATTGAGTTAGATTTTTTACATCATAAGCTATATTAGGTCTAGTAATAGTTAAATATAATAATTTTTTAATTAATCTTTGATATGAACCAACATTAGATAACATGTGATCTTCTTTCTTGTCGTTGGTTGTATACTCATCATATTCATTTGTTATCAGTTTGTAATTTGTATCTTTAGAAGATGCAACCTTTTTGAGCCTGCTAGACCAAGCTCAGATATTAACTCCACTCAAAGCTATCTTTGGTGCATAAATATCCCTTGATCAGACCTCACAAATTCTATTCCCAGAAAAAAATTTCCAAGTCCTTCATTTTGAATACTTGTTGTAGTTTTTGTTTTGTTTCCTTAATCAATTTCGGACTATCTCCAATTACTAGCATGTCATTAACATAGACCAACACTATTACAATTTCATGTTCAATCTTTTGTATGAAGAAAGAATGATCATACTGACTTTGTTTGAATCTATGTTTCATCAAGGCTTTTGTTAGCTTGATATTTCAGTGCCTTGGTGCTTATTTAAATCCATACAAGGATTTGATGAGTCTCCACACTATTTTCTTCTTACCTTGACTCAAAAATCCTTGAGGCAGTTCCATGTATATCCCGTCATAAAGATCACCTTTTAAGAAAACATTATAAATATTCATTTGATGAATGCGCAACCATTTAGATGTTGCAATTTTCATCACTATCCTAACTGTGACCATTTTCATTTAGGA